GCGTCCAGCGCCGCTGTCTTCTCGGGCGGCAACAGGTGCCGTCGGCGCCGCAATGACACGGCGTACATCCCAAGCAACCACCCGCCCAAGGGAGCGGGCCACCGATCGTCAAAGAACTCGACGACAAAGTCCCGCGGGATCGCGAGGTTCCCAAAGAGGCGGCGGTACAAAATGAGCGCGTCGACCTTCTCGTCGTCGATGCCTCGGTGATCCAACTGCCGGCGCTTTCCCGACAGCGACAGCGGTCGAGGCTCGTAGCGCAACAGCGCCGGTGTGACTTCGGGCGGCAGCTCGAGCAGCTCGTCGAGTGCGACGAACGTTGCCCTTGGCACCAGTAGCTGCGCCATGGCCGTTCGGAGCTCGGACATGTAGCGTCCGAAGCGCAGCCCCCGCCACGGTAGATCCCAGTCACCGGGCACGACAAAGTCGCTGGGCACGTCGGTGGATCCGAATTTGGCAACATACAGGCGGAGACCACACACGACGCCTGCCCACGTCGCAGGCGTGTGGAAGATGACGCCGAGCGCGTCGAGCTCCGGCAGCATGCCACGTGGCAGCACGAGTCGCTTGCGACCAAGGTACCAAGCGACCTCGCCAAGTGCAACGTGATGGAAACGAGGCGGCCATGGCGCTGCCGCTGGCACGACAAACTCGATGGGCACGGCGCGTTGGTTTGTGATCTTGACGTAGAGCGCGAGGAGCTGCTTGGTGTCGTCCCAATGCGGCAGCTCCGTGCAGAGCGAAAGGTTGTGCACCGTCGCGACGTCTGCGTCCGAGAGCTCGTAAAAGTGAGCGCGGAGCGTCTGAGGAGCGCGCGAGAGAAGCACGTTCGAGGCTTCTTCAGGCCACGCAGCATCGCTCTCCGGTACGACAAAGGCGTCGGGCACGTTGAGATGCCCGTGGCGATGGCGGAAGGCGACGAGGGCGTGGACGAGCGCGGACAGCGGGACGCGGCGGACGTAGCGTGCGCCGTTGACGCAGACGATGCTGCGGTGCACGCACCGGGGCGGCGGCGACCATTCGTAGCCAATCGCATCGAGCTGCGCAAAGCGGTCCGGTGCGTACATGGTCGCATTCGTGCGGGCGGCAGCCGTGAACTTGCCAAGCGCCATGCCATGCAGCGGCGCCGGCCACAGCTCGGAGGCCGGGACCACGTAGCTGGTCGGAACGCGGCAATGACCGTGGAGGTAGCGGTAGACGGTCCATGCTTGGAGCAGGGCTGCCCACGGCGGCAATGTCATCCTCGCCTTCTTCAATTGAACAGCGTGTCGCTGTTTGAAACACGTTTGAAACATATCGTTTGAAACATGTTTCAAACAGGTGTTGCGGCGCTGCAGAGAGTATTATGTCGAGTGGATGGCTCGCTGCCACGGCACCGCTAATCGCTAGCAAATTTCTTGCATAGCAATGACACTGGCAGAAGGTGCTGGCAGAGCGTGATGCATCCTTCGCGTCGCTTCGGTTTGATCCGACGGCCAGCAGGTGAACGTCAACAAAAGCGCTCGACGCCGTTGCGAACGTCGGAAGCTGCTCTCTCGGATGGCGCTCGTGATGCAAGGCTTTTGCACACGCGATTGCGGACGTTTACCTGGCTGCCAAGCAGCTAATAGCTTGATCGCAGCAGAACACAAGGCGACCTTCAACCGAATTTCGAAGAGCCGATGAACTTCGATGGGTTTCCCGCCAAACCAAACGAGCCCTAGTCTGCGGACACCTCATTAACCTCTTGGCCTGCGATATGCAAAAGCTCGGTGACCTCCATTGGGTGACCTCCAAGCAGCTAGACGGGGCTGCAGCTCCGTGTTGTCTTCGACCCGTCGACAAGAGCCTATGGACGTCCACTTTAAGTATACATGGTATCAAGACAACGTCACCAACCTCTGTCTCGAATGCTCGCCGAGCGCTTCGACGGCGAGGCCATCGACCCTCCGGTCGTGCCATCGCCCATCGCCTTCTAGGGCGATACGACATGTTGTCCAAACTCAACGCAGTCAACACGGCACTGCGGACCGTGCCGCTGCGATTCGTCGGTCGCTCGCCGTACAGATACTCTCATGTACATGTCGACAGACGAGGGCACCATCGAATACTTTAGTCAATCGGCTCCACGGCTACTCCAGCAAATGCATCGCACGCCGACCGGGTATTAATACATCGACTGAGCACTCTAGTCGTTCATAGCCCGTGTTGCTACACCGACTAAAAAGGCGGGTGAAA